CACCTAGAATTTTCATTCTATTCAGTTCATTAAGGCACTGCCCTTGGCCCAGCAGGTGGAATAATGGTTAAGGTATTGGATTCCCACATAGCCAACCATGATTTGAGTCCAGGAACCAGTCGCTTGAAAATCATGCCAGGTAGGTGTGTGTGTGTGTGTGTGTGTGTGCCCAGAATCCCAAGAAGAGAATGAAGGAGAAGGAATTATGGCGTGGCCATCCCTTCTTGGGAGGGTGATTTCTCACTTCCCCTTTCTCTGTCTCTTTCTGGTGAGTACATGTGCTCTATGGCAAAAAAAAAAAAAAAAAAAAAAAAAACTTGCCCTCTCCTCGCTTCCAGATTTTGATTTAATAGATCTGACGTGGCAGCAGTTAAGCACCGCACACCAGTATTGATGATATTCATATCTAGTCAATAACAGGTTTCCATACTAGGTCAACCAACAGTAAATTCTCACTAATACAGGTGCTTTGTATTCTTGTAATGCCAGGTGAGGGCAGAATTTTACTCTTTCCTATTCCAGAGTTGTTTCTCAGGGGCTGGGAGGGTCACCTACAAACATTAACAGAGGCCTGTGGTCATTAACAGACCACTTTGGTCCACTGATAGTGGGTGTATACATCCTATCCCCCAGTGGGTTTTTTTGTTTGTTTCTGGGTTTTTTTTGTGTGTTGTGTGTGTGTGTGTGTGTGTTTTTGTTTGTTTGTTTGAGAGGTTTTTGCTATAGGGTGCATGCACTCGCCAGGCAGAGAGAGAGAGAGAGAGACAGAAAGCAAGAAATCACCCCCGAGGGGGGGATGGCCACGCCGCAATCCTTTATCCACTCCAGATTTTGGGAACACACGCACACGCGCCCAATGTGAGTTTTAAGCCACTGGGTCCGGGACACGAACCGCAATCAACTATAAGGGAGTCCAGCGACATAGCCATTATGCTAACTGCTAGACCCTCCCCCAGTGTTTTTATGATGCATAGAAAGCCTTCTTATCTTAGTGTAAAGCACATTCTTTTTTCTTCTTTTGTTTTGCTGATTTCTTTCAGAAACACGGACTTGTGTTTTTCTGTAACCAACTACTAATCTGTATCAAAATTTCAAACTCACTTATAATCTATAAGCCTCTATTTCCAGATGTCCCACCTTTTGGAACCAGGTCAATGTAAAAGACTCCTAATGCTAATCGACAACTCTACTGCTCTCAGAACTATTAGGAACCACTGTATCTCAGCACCTCAAGACATGCTTTTGTCTTTTTCTGGGTATGGCACTCAATCTGATGTTAGAATAAACCACATTAATGATTATTTCTGCAGAGCTTAGTTATTTCTGCTGACAAAGGATTTCCAAATCAAGATAGAATTTTCTACCTTCAATATCCTTATAGACAAAAGCCCCATTTTTCTATGCCTCCCATAGTTATGTGACCTGTCTCTGGGAGTCTCTGAGTTGAATGCATGAGTCTAGCAGAGAAACTTCAGGCCCCAAATTTGATCCTACCTCTTTTAAAGTAGGCCACATCACATGTGCAGGTTCTTTTTGGTTTTGTTTTTATTCTCTGTTAGAGGGAACATGCTTTTGTCAGAGAGAAACAGAGAAGGGAGAGGAGAAAACATCCCCCATAGGGAATAATCACATTGCATACCACAATCCCTTCTCTCCACCTCTCCCACCTTTCAGAATTTGGGGTACACATGCACACACACCCACCATGTGTCCCAGGTCACTGTGTCTGAAACTCAAACCATTTAGTTGGCCATGTGGGATCCAGCTGCCCTAACCACCACACCACAGGCTGGCCCAATGCATGCAGCTTTGAACACATAATGAGGTGTTTTTTCTCTTTGGCTGGGTCACATGAGCAGAGCCTGACACCATGTCGGGGGCTCTGAATGCATATCAAGCAGGAAGACCAAATACAAGACTGTCTCCTGTCATTGTGAGATCCCTCACCTCCAGTCCCTGTCTGCATCTCCACTTTCATCTCACTTAACTTCAGTAGAAACCAGCTCTTCTTTGCAGTTTTTCCTCTGCCCAGGGTCCATTTCTGCCTTTCTTCTTTCCCCTTTCTTCTTCCTACTCATCTTTAAGACCTGCATGGGTCTCCACTCAAATGGACCTCTCTCAGAAGCTGTTCTTGTGAGTGATTCTATATAATAAAGCTAATGAAGCTTCAGTTTCTGGGCCCCTCACTTGTGTGGGTCTCTTCCAGGCCCTGGGCATTGTGTTTGGGTTTAGGAGAATAATAAATTCATGTGGTTGTCAACACAGAAATGGTATATCCATCAGAGTTCAACCAAAGAAAGAGAACCAGTAGGAAGCACTAGCATAGACTAATGATGATTGATTTTTGATAGATGATAGACTATAGAAAGAAGATAGATTGATAGAAAATAGATAAATAATAGAAATACATAGAGTGACCCTCTGTATTTTCAGGCTCTGCATCCTTGTAGTCAACCAACTACAGATTGAAAATACCTGGGGAACATAATTGGCTGGGTCTGTACTAAACATGTACAGATTTTTTTTTCTTGTATTATTCCCTAAATAATACAACACAACTACTATTTACATAGAATTTACATTGTATTATGTGGTATAAAGAGTCTAGAGATGATTTAAAATATTCAGGAGATTGTGTATACATTATATACAAATACTTCATTGTTTTACATAAAGAACTTGAGCGTTCAAGGATTTTGGTATCCACGGGGAGTCCTGGAACCAATCACCTGCAGATATCAAGGAACAATTGTATGAGGGGACTTAAAGTTTGTGGTGGGGGGCGGGGAAGTCTTGTACTGCAACAGTTAACTACTATGGATTGAAAGACAGACCCCACATGGCCAGCCATGGTTTGAATCCCAGCACAGTGGCTGAAAAAATCCATCTGGTTCATGTGTGTGTGCACCCCAAATCCTAACTAGAAAAAGAAATGGAGGTAAGAAGATTATGATGTGACCACACCCCAATAGGGAGCACTCTCTCTCTCTGGTGAGAGCACAGGTCCTCTGCCAATTAAAAAGTTAAGTAAAAGAAATTTTTTAAAAAGCTTGTGGGAAAAACAACCCAGCCTAGTGGCACAGACCAAAGCAAAATGCACAGCTGGAGGCCACATGTCTGACTGGGAATTCAGATCCCCTGGTCGGTCTGAAAACTCACCAGGTGCCCAGGATGCTAAAGAACTGAAGGGCCAGGGAAGGGGACTGTAGTGTGAGGAGACTCTACTGAGGGTGCTTCTCTCTCCCACGCATGCACACAGTCTCTAGCCTGAATGAAATAAATAAAACTTAAAAAACAGCTGCAGAAAAATGGAATTAAAGTACGAGTTTATTTTGGTGCAAATTTTTTAAATACATGCATTTCTTTCATGGTCTTTCTCTTTCAAAATAAATAAACAAACCTAAAAAAAAAAAAAAAGTCTACCAGTCTTTACAGATTATCACCATTAGTTTTGGAGTTCAGGTTATAGGCTATTCACATTGTTTGAGTTCAACAGGGTAAAAAATATTCTTAAGATTGTTCCAGCAACTGAATTCTGATAAAAACCTGAAGCAAGTGCAAAGCCAGCAGGAAAGCAATAGCACTTAGACATTTCAATCTCCAGAGAGAACTTCTGGTTAAAAAACAAATGACTACAACAGCCCAAATAAAGAAACAAACAACACAAACACTGCTCTTCTCCAGCCTGTACCTCCTGCCAAAAATATCCTTGACATTTTGGTGTTGTGTTTGGATAGGTCTGTGGATGCACATAACTTATCTATTTGATTATGTGTTGGAGTGGATAACATAAGAGTGTGAAATACAATACTCAGCAACCCTGTCAAACACAGGGTGTTTCTTGATATGATAAGATGCTTGAGTCTGAGAGATCGGTTGTTTGGAGTCCAAAATATTTTCTGTGAAAATTGTAGCTCTGAATTATAATGAAAAAGGCTTGTATAAAGAATTTGTAAACCATGCTCACTCATTAATTTTTCTACGTTCCCCACATCTAATTCTCCCTTGCCTCTTGAGAGGAAAAATAAAATATATAAAGAGATTTCCTTAGTATAATTCATCACACGCTACTTTAAGGCTATGGCCATGGTTTCCATTGGAACTTGTTCAAAGGGAACATACTTTGTTCTTACCAACACAATTGAATGTGATTTGTTTGCTATTATTTGAGGTGTAGACGGGAGTTGTTTCTATCTTTCCCACGACTGTTCATTTCTCACTTCTTGTTTCTACCTGTCACCTGTCTGACTTAGGGTATGGACATTCCATTCCACCCTCTGCCTACTATACTGCTTCTTATTCTTTTCTGAATCATGAACTTTCTTGAAAATCTACATATTTTCTTCCCAGAAAAAAAATAAAGGCACAAACATAAATAACACAAATTTTGCATACAATTTTGGAAGTCTTGTTAGATTCTTAAGTCATCCAAGGAGCATGTCAGTGATGCCAGGGGAGGAAGTGTAGGGGGAACTCCTCCCCTGCCCCCTGGGTAATTCTATCAAAAAATAAAAGTACCTGGTATTTGGATGGGATGAGAAACCTCCCAAATATTTCAGTATGTACCTAAACCTTTACCTAAGGCAAAATTTTTAAGGAAAAAGTAATTTCTAAAGGAAAAAAGACACTTAGAATTCTAACTCTCAAGAGTGCCTTTGTTGTATTCTACACTGAGTCACTGTTACTAAAGGAAAATTTGAGGAAGTTGTTTGTGTCATGATGGTTAAAAAAAAAATTTCATTTTAAACATGGTGTTTCGAAAACCTATCTTTTTCCAAATAGATGATAAATTCAACGGAAAGAATTCCTGTATGAACAATACTTATTTCAAGAGTAAACTTAAGTGTAAAGCAAATGGATACATTTCATTTTAAAACCAATTTACATTTACCGAGGTCACCAAAATGCAAGTCTATTAAAAATAGACCTTATCTTTAATGTTTATTTCACATTATCTAAGTACATTTCAGTTATGCACATTTACATTTTATTTCACATCTTTGCATTTCTAATATACATATAACAGAACAAAGAACACATTTGCAAAACTGAGCCTGTAAAACCTTGCTTGGGGAGGACAGAATTCTCAGCTGCCTTATTCTTCTGCATGTGCACAAATACAATTCCAAATAATAGGATGGAAATCAAGACTGGTGAAGGAGAAAACTGACCACATTTTTATGCCATTTATGGTGTTCTAATTGTGGAATTACAATCTGATAGGTAACATATCTTTGGAAGTTCCTGAAAATACTGCAAGAGGCTTAGCTGGGTGTTCTAGAGTTCACGTCATCTACATGAAGTTGTCACTAGCTAGACATCAATGACACTTCAATGTTGGCATTGGAGTACTGTGAATTCACCTTTAAAAAAAGATATTTTTTAAAAGTCATAATCAACATTATTATCCCATTTTTTTGGTGAAAATATCTTCCCAGGTTAGACAACAAGCAATTATTTCTCCAAATAGGCAAAGAATAAAGACAGACCAGTATGATACTGTACTCATTTTAAAGAAAACAATCAAATGAGAGAATTTGAAATTTCAGTTATAATTTTATAACATTCAAATACATCGAAATCACATGATAACACTAGATGACTGCATGTTCATTCTGTTCGATGTTGCCCACGAGACCTTTGGTATCGCTGGTTCCTGGACTCGATCGACTGTTGAAGTAGAGAGTGTTTTCAAAGGTGCTCTCCTGAGGTATGTGCACACGTCTTTTCTTATAAAAGAAATAGGCAGCCAAGCCAGCACCAAGTAGAATCAAGAGGATCACAATGACCACACCTGCCACTCTGGAAGATGGTTTGGAAGGTTCCATCTTCCTTGAGTCAGCTATAAATAAATAAAATCATTAGGGAAAAGGTGGAGGGAGATAGAAGGTTGATTGTCATAAAGAACTATACATCTACCCCTGTTAAAAATCTAACATTTATGAATACCCTTTTAAGTGACATTCATCAAACAGAAATTGGAGGACATATAAATGAAAGTCTCTATGACAAAAAGGATTATACAGTATATTAAAATGGTGGTTCATGTGCAAGAATACTTCATCTGTGTATCTATGTAGAAGGAACTAATCAGTGTTTTTAAAACACGTATACCTGTTTTAGAATAATTTAAGACAACTTAAGATTACATACATTATAAGAATATAAATAGAACAGCAATGATGATGATGATTAAGGTCAAATTTAAAAACAGAAAAGAGAAAATAAGAGTGGTGAAATTTCAACTCATAAATAAAATGAGTAAATAAACAGCAAATGTGCTAAAAAGAGAATTATAGGCAAGTCATAAATCACATATTGACTATTTTTAGCAACCAACAAAATGAGTATAATAGAATCAGTTACCTAATTCAAGCTGAGTACAAAAATTAAAACAAAAAAAAACTTGCCCAAACAAGGAGGAACTAAAAAGAAAACCCATAGGATTTTTGAAAGAAATTTCTCCCATGGCTCCTGATAAGGCAACTCACTGTGTTCTTTTTTAAGAATTATTTACTCAATTTTATTTATTATTATTTTTTTTTAAATTAGACCAGAGAGAAACAGAGAGAGAGAGAAAGTGAGAAAGCAAGCTGCCAGATCAGAGACTCAAACCACAGTCAGCTATGTAGGAATCCAGTGTCCCAACCACCATACCACCTGTCGACCCCAAGGTATCTCTTTGTAATAGAGCAAACAGTGTCTTCAATAACTTCTAAAGTAAATCCACTACCTTGACTTCAGGCCTGTTTTTCTAAAGTATCATTCAAGGAGGGTTGATAAACATAACGACAAAAGCTGGTGTAGCTCAAGCAGTTCAACTTACAGTACAGGAAGAGTAGGAAAGGATCATTATGGATTCTAAAACAAACCGGGCTGATACACTACTAATACTGAACTTGAAATGTCATAACGGTCTTACCTTTTGTGGTAATTAATGTCTGAGTAGGTTCGGCATCAACAACTGTTTATAAAAAAAAATTATTATTTCTTAAAAAATTATTTATTTAATTTTATTTATTATCATTATTATTACCTTTTTAAAAATTTGATCAGAGAGAGACAGAAAGACAGTGAGTAAGCAAGCCACCAGGTCCGGGACTCAAACCACAGTTTGCCATGTGGGAGTCCAGTGCCTTAACCACCATGCCTACCAGCCCTGAGAAATTATTTATTAAAGCCCATAAACATTGCATATAGATAGTAAATGTTATTTGGCTCACAGATGTGTGGAATCCTCCATATTCGGTTCATGGTGATGTGATACAATATGAAAGCTGTGATAGGTAGATAGATATTATCTTATCTATTCACCTATCATCTGTCTATCTGCCTATGCTATAGCAGCATCCTATAGCTCTATGGTGAGTTTGAATACAGTGACAGATCTGAAAATGTAAACCTCTAAGTCACATTTGAATCACTGATATTTACCTTTAAAATCTATTCAATCTACCCCTACATAAAGTATTCTAGGATAGGGATTTTTAAATTGGCCCACTGAAACCCAAAGTATTACCAGGTTTTGAGTGAAAACTAAAATGAGACCCCAACATTACATCAGAATTAAAGTAGAATGAAAAACAACAGAGTTTAAAAGCAGACTAAAAACATGTAAAATTCTAAAATGGTGAGACCTACTAGGGGAATATAGTCAATTGATTTAATTCATTTATTTAAATCTATTATCAAATGAACCATTTTAGTCCTTAAGAATACTATATGAGTTGGAATAGTATCAAAATATTAAAGTCCAGATAGTGGCTTGTCATGAGCTATTAACACTATTAATTCCCTCTTTTGGTTTCGTGGTTTGTCACTTGATTTCAGAAGACTGATCTGGTCATTTGTATTCCATCAGTTCTAATTTCTCTCCAGAATCCTGGCTTCTTCCCCCCTACACTTTAAGGCTTTGGAAAGGGGATATACAACTGCTTGTAGCTTGGAGAATCCATATGCACAGATATCCCATTATAAATGCCAAAACCATTATGTCAGCTAAGCACAAACTGAAGGCAGCAACTGCTCACCACGGCAGAATGGGCTTTCCACAGATACAGAAGAGAATTTGCCTGGGCTTGTAGTCACATTATAGTCCCACATCTGATACCTTGCAGTTTGAAAAAAATGGTCTATAAACACGTGGAGCATATGACAAACTTCTTACTTACTTTTTGGCCTTTTGCAAATATATCCTTTGTAGGAAGAACAGTGAATGTTATTCCAAAACCCAGATGATGCATGCAAAGCTACACAATCATTTTGTTCACCAGAAGGATCTCCTGTGTTCCAGTTCACGAAGGAGACAGGGTTGTTGTCTAGCCAGAGCCACATTCCTGATCATCCAATGAAATGAATACAAATATATATGTCAAAAAGAGCCTCTCATAAAATACTGAGCACTCATTCATAGAAAATATTATTTAATAATATTAATATTAATAGTATAATATTAATGTTAATAATTAATATTAATAACATGATATTAATAATATAAAATATTATTTAATCATATTATTTAATACTAGAATGAATAGTGGTTGGGGCCAGCAGGGGATATGGTAGTTAAGGGTGCTGGACTCCCACATGGCCAACTGTGATTTGTGTTCCAAACCTGGTGGCTTTCTTTTTCACTCTCTTTCTCTCTCTGTCCTTCTCTGGTCAAATTAAAATACATAAATAAATAAATAAAGTTAAATAAAATAATTCTTTTTTTTTTGAGAGAGATTTTCGCTATAGGGCGCGTGCGCTTGCCAGACAG